TGTATTTCTTCGATTGGAAGATTTGTCGGCTAAGCTCGAGTACGATGAGTTGCCTACCACCGAGGCGCACATGGGGGAACGCCAAGCTCGAAGGGTGGTCTGCTCGTACGGCGGCCTGGGGCCTCGTAACCAGGTCGATTTGGTGGCCTACTCTCACGGCGAGTACGGGCCAATGAGTAATGGACTGTCCCCGAGCGTAGTTACTGTGCTCACCAAAGTCTTTAAAAAAGGCTAAATTAAAACACTTGATACCCGTTAACTGAAAAATCGTATTTTTAATTGTCACAAAATAATTTACGCTTCAACAGAGCATTTACTGTGGTGATCCAGGCGGCGGGCAGATTCCAAACCATAGGCGCGTATAGCCTATATAATACAATATATTGCACACAGTGCCAAGCAATCGAAGAGTTGATTGTACGAGAAAATAATTTCAAATACTAACGTGTATGGTGGACACAGTTGAACATCAGCCGCTCACAATCACTATTAAACTGCCTCAGTGTGCCACCAATTTCCGCTGCACACACCGTGTCTGGGGAGCAGAGTATGGGAGGGCAATGACTTGATCGCGTCCCGTCTCCACCACACAAACACATTGCAACTGAGAGTAAGACAGGCACAGAATAAGCAGTGACCTTGAGTCGGTTACAAAATTATATAGGAAAGGAAAGGCATAAAAGCACACACCCACTGCTTGTTCAAGAGTACTGCTTGGAAATTTGTATACTGACAAAATGGATGTCACTTTTTGTTTCTTATGGAAAGTGCATGTGCTAAACTTCAAGAATTACAAGCGTCAAACATATGTCTTGAACTGGCAGTTGCAGTGCTAGCTGGACTTAGTACGAACCAAGGAAACAGGAAACAACAACACGAATATCTACTTCTGCCATACTACAATACTGAACCAAAGGCGACAGGGCAGAGTAGAGACGTGCAGCCTACAGCCCCGTGCTCTTTATGAACTGGAAACCCAAGGCGACAGCGGCGACTGGTCTTTTATCGCGGTCTAACGGACAGACGGACACAGAGCGATGAACATGTTTTGACGACATGCAAACAACCCACAGGACTTTAAGGTGGCCTACCCTGCAGGAACCGCCAGCAATACATACAGGACGTCAATGGCAACACGTGGGAACTACCAGACCCATCAACGACGCCACGGAAGCGTGTGACATCCAATAACTTGAAAATATGCGCCAAAATGGCTGTCAGGAGAGTGTGTATAGCAGCCACGAACACAAATGTGAGAGATAGACGTCACAAGCATGTCACGTCAAGCATTTCACGAATATCACCGATCACACACTTTTTATGAGTGTGACACGATTGCCAGAACGTTACGCACTCTTTTGTGCCTGACATGACGTGTGACACGTGACACAAGTGTTTCGGAGCTACACTGCTGCACACCTCTATTTGTAATGGGTGTAGATAAACGAAGAGTAGTGAATAATTTATTCATTTGCAAATTTCCTGGAAAATTATGGAGTGAGCGGGGCAGGGGGAAGGCACTGGAAGAGGAATACAAGAGGGTGGAGAAAAATGGAGGGGGGCTCAGAGAGACTCCAGCAGGTAATCCCGGAAAAACCGGTTTGCAAAACTCAAGCAAAACTGTTTGCTTTTGATTGCTGCCTATTGGATGTACGGCGGGTCGTGGATCGCAGTCTCCAAGATACCGCCGCTGCGAGAGGTTGCGCACGCCACCGCAGAGAAAACAAGCACATGTGAGCGCGTCTTTGTTCCATCCACAGCTGTGTCGCACACAGGCCAAGCAGTGCACTATGTGGACGCTGGAATTTTTGGCCGGTACCATTCTGGCGGCGTACCTCACAGCTGCCGTCGAGTTACCGAAAGGTAGGTGAGTGTTTGGGACATGGCCACGACTGGACGAAGAAATTTCTGTAAGCAAGTGGACTGCTTCCTGTCCTCCTGTTTGTGCAGTCCTTCCTTAGTATATGTTGTCAGGCTTAATTATGTGACAGTTTTGTCTTAGTTCAAAAATGTTTTTGCTTGTTAGTGTTCAGTTAACTATCAGCTGTCAAGGTCGTAAATAATAGAGAGAACAAGGGGGGGGGGGGCTTGCATTATCAGCATTCTTCGAAAAGATAGCAGGGGCAGAAAACGTGCACTCATCTGCTCATGAACAGAGCTGCAATGCAAGCCATCACAGGTCAAAAATAAAAACATCAATGAACAAATTATTTAGGCTTAGAATTTCAGATTTACGGAACAGAAGCAGTTTCGAAAGGCACTGGGTGCGCTTCATTGTTAGACCAGAATTCATCATTCACCTTGCTTGCCTCTTACGTTGCCGTACGGTTGTCCCTAGCTATAACATCTTTGACGTCACGCGGAAATCCCAAGTCGCAGGAACTGGATGCCCTCCACCACCCGGTCGAATGGGATGCCTAAAGCACAGGCGCACGAACGAGAAAGATCGTTTTCTTCAGCAGAAAATCTTAGAAGGGTATAAAAACATTTAAATGACATTGAGGTAAACGCCATTGGATTGTGATTTGGACCAACTTTAAGAGCACTAAGTATTAACAAGAACTGCTCGTTGTGATTTGTGCCGTCTCAAAGACTATAGTATACTACAATCCCAGTGAGAAATGACAAGTCGAATCGACGTCGAAACGACATCGAAACGATGGAAAACTGGTCGAATCGACGTCGAAACGACATCGTTTCGACAGGCATTTCTCACTGGGAATACTTCACGTTAACGTTAACTATGTGCAGGTTTTTTGTGGCGTGGCTACGCTTGCCCGTGCTAAATTCAACCCACGTTTTGTATAAGACAAATTTAAGCGCAAAACTGCCTGATTTCTTTCAAATGAATGCACAAACGTGCTGAAAGATGTGCAAAAAAATTTGATTATACAAAAAACTTGTTCAAATCGGTTCAAATGAAAGAATCAAATCCAGTGAGTGTGTACAATAGTTGGCGTGCAACTGGCAATGTTTTAGGAAAGAAATGAAGAAACAAATAGAAACATACTACCATAAATCTTAATCACGTATCAAAGTGCGCTAAATATTATTTTCGCAGTTACAGGAGTCAAATTTGCGCGGTCAACAGTTGTACCTGTCATATCGCAAAACTAATATCAAATTAATTTCCATTGTCATACAGAGTGTGGTATTTCTTCAGCGAAGGGGAGTGCTTTCGTTATCAATGGCAAAAACGCAACTGTCAGCGAATTTCCGTGGCATGTCGGCCTTTACCTTGAGTCGCAAAATATGGCACAATTTTGTGGAGGTTCACTGATTCATCCACGCTTAGTCATGACAGGTAAGGGCAGGGTGAATTAATGAATACTAAACTACTTGTTGCAGAGTTTTTCATACGCATTGTGTATTATTTGTAGCCGCACATTGCGTGTTTGTGGACAATAAGCTGGTCGACGCAAAGGACATGAAAGTTTCCGTGGGGAGCGCCCTGCGGGATTGGGAGGCTAAAGTTGAAGAGTCTCAGAAGCGCTCGGTAAGTAAGTACTAGGGGAGAGTCATTGGACCCTGGGGCAAATTGGTCCACCATCAAGTTCACACTAAACCCTTATGCATTTTGTTGTGTATGAACTTGCAGGATTTCATGCAGCCATAAGTATGAGCAAATTTTTATGCATAATTGTGTACAAAATGTGAATAATTATGCACACACTGTACATGGTTATGCATAAAATTGTGCATAATGTTATGGCTGCATGAAATCCTGCACATCTTATGCACAACAAAGTGCATAATGATTTAGTGTGTTTCACGAGTATATATAACAATCGCAGTGACCTGACTCAAACTATGCAAGAAGCCAATACCACCCTGACTTATTTTCTGAGATGTTTGACAAAGTTTGCTGTCAACCATCGGATTGGCAAGGAGTTAAATATTATTTAACCGCAACATCTGGTAAAAGTAAAACGTGGTTCACTCTACAACTAGCTTATTTAGAGGTACAAAACACGCACATTTCGTTGCAAACCAAGATTTATGGTAAAGCCTACTCTTTTACCTGCAGATTGCACTGAGTGTCCAAATTGGTTATTTAAGACAATCCGGTTATCTTTTGGAGCCATTCAATTGAATTTGTTATCGTTGGGGCAGTTTGAGCAGTTTTGTAAATTGGCACTAACGGAATATTTCCGTAAATTATTTTTTACGAAGCATTTCGTAACACTTTTTTTTCCGTAAAATCACGAAAACTTTTTACAGTGTGCATGCGGAGGTTTTTGTGTCTCTGTGAGAGCACTAAAATCATTGACACCTTTAAAGCTGCCTCTAAACATTGCTCTACAGTGTTATGACTCAAAAAATTATTATTATCAGTGTTATGACAAAATATTGAATGTGTTTTACAACTATACAGGTTTCGAAGATCTATCCTCACCCGCACTTTCGTGGCCGAAGACGCAACTATGCAGATGACATCGCCCTGCTGGAGCTTGCGTCGCCAGTTACCGTCAACGCTTATATTCTGCCCATTTGTCTTGATTGGCAGGGAAATAAACTTGCCAGCCTAAAGAAGGGTGACGTTGGCAAGGTAATAATTTGAGTTCACTCTACAGTAAAGTAGATCGTTGAAATTAATATGTCCGCCAACCCACAATCCGAGACGGCGAACTTTCGACTAACTATTTGCAGAGTAAAAATATTGTTTACCTTTCAAAATACAGGTAGTTGGATGGGGCCAAACTGCGGAAAAAAAGCCGAGTCCATTCCTGCAGTCTGCCGAGCTGCCATACATCCCATTCAACGAGTGTGTGGATGCTGTTCCAGCAGACTTCCTTCCGTTTTTAAATTACGACAAGTTTTGTGCGGGACACATAGATGGTAAGTTGCGAGCAATTATTACAGAAAGGAGACCAAAAATTAGGTGAATCAGAAAACTGTAGTTTTGCATAAACTACCGGGTGTCCCGGCTCTTACATGCCAGTATGGTGGGTTGCATAGGCACAGGCTCGCTGGCGCTGTCGAGAGCGCGCAGGATTTCGCGCATCCCCGCGGAACCGCGAGCCTACCCGTGGAACCGCGGGGGTGCGTGAAATCCTGCGCGTTCCCGACAGCGCCTTCGAGTCAGCGCGTAGGCAACCCGCCATACTGGCATACTGGCAGCCGGGACACCCAGTACATTAGTTGTTAATTTTAAAATGTTATTCTTGCAGGAGCCTCCGTAGCCCCCGGTGACAGTGGTGGAGGACTGGCTTTCGAACACAATGGTTTATGGTACTTACAAGGTATTGTCTCCGTTGGCGTCACTCAGAAGCTTTCCTACTCTGCATTTACCAGAGTCGACGCGTATACGGAATGGATTAATCAAATTCTAGAAGCCATATCGTCAGCCGGTAGATATCTAAAAAAATACGATACGAAAGTTAACTTAGACTTGATAATATTGAGCCTCTCTGTCAAGGTATACGGTGGGAGCTAATGTCACGCAGTCCGAATTTGCCACGAGATGCCTTGAAAGGCGGATTTCAGAGAATAAACAACAATGACTACCCACACTACGTGGGACGCATCTTCCATAAGAACGCAATCATCCCTGCAACCGTCACGAGGTACGGTGGAAACTGGATAGCTTACGCGGTTGTTGACGGAAAATCAATGAACGACGAGACTTTTGAGGTACGTTTACTGTCAACAAAACTTATAGTTATAAGCTGGGGTCGTGGTCAACCACGTGACCTGGGGTGGGGTTAGACAATTACTACTTTTTCCCTTACAAAATAAACATCAGGATTACCAAAGAAAGGTAGGGCACCTGTGGCAAAATAGTAAAGAAATTGGCAAAAAACGAAAGTCGGAAATTTACAGAGGGATGCGAAATAAATTTCAGTACATAGTTGCATACAAAATGGCATTCAGATCATCAAAAAACTTACCTAACTTTGTCAAAATTTGCGACAGAATGAAAGAGCGTTTTATTTCCTCGTGAGGGAAAATAAGGGGGGGGGGGCTTCATTAGTAAATAGAGCAATTTATAATGTTGACAACATAAGTCTCCGAAATGAATGATAACAGTTTTATGGAATAATGGTCATAGGTTTTCGCGAACTAAGTAAACTAACTTGGCCCCCCACCTCCACCCCCTTCTGGTTTCCCCCGACCACGTAGTGTTGTAACAACGACAAAAAAAGACATTGTCGTGAGGTTCAACTCTGTTATGTAGGCTAAATTCGACAGCCGCACGGAAAAAGGGTTAGTTTGGACATCTTATATGCTCGCCGGTATGCGCACAACGAACATTTTAGCAATGACAGTTGATGCGTGATCGTCACGAGACGAGAGCCGAAAGCACTGTAGTTGGGACAACTAATGCGCACTGTAAAAATTCTTTGTCATGCTGACGAAAATACCATGGCTAATTTTTAGTACAGGGGTCGTCATGGGTTTTTTGTCACATAATAGGGGTTTTCTCGTCACCGTGATGAAAAACTCATTGATTTGACGACATACCTCTGTACTAAAAATTAGCAATGGCATTTTCGTCATCGTGACAAATAATTTTTTCAGTGCGGCACCAGTGAAAAATATTTTTTTTAATACATACTTTCATTTGAAAGTACACATTCTAATGGCAATTTCCAACTTTTTCACGATTTTTGTGGCCACCTTTGATTATTACTGGAATCGTTCTGATATTTTAGCTGCGACTCAAGCGGCAGTCGAACCCACGTTCGTCCTGCTACCAGTCGAACTCGGAGGCACTGCGCCACCCGTGCGCGATCACGTATGAAAGGAATATAGTCAGTCAGGTGGAACGCGCCGAAATCAAATGTAAGCTAATCACATTCCCTGCGATAGTCGTCTTCAGCTCTCATAGGCGAGCAGGCGTAAGTTATAACAACAACTCTAAATTAGCTAGAGTCGACGATCGTAAAGCTGACGCTGTGATTCGTTCTGAGAGTAAATATGTAGTTGGTTGCGACAGCTACTGAAATATGTTCGCTGCCGCGACGAATTAGTTTGCTGAGTTAGCGAAGAATGTTCGTTTTGCACATACTAGCGAACATATTAGCTCTGACACTGATGGTAGGTTGCGACAGCTAATGCTTTTTTTTCGTGCGGAATCGAGAATCCGACACACACAAACAAGGAGTTGGTTGTCACGACCGGACAATAGTACGAATATAACAAACTTCAGCTTGGTTCTATTCGTACAAGTGTCCGGTCGTGAAAACCAACTCCTGGTTTTGCATATCGGATTAATTCCAGCCATCGGATTTAGCCTACCAAACAGGAGCCCCACGACAAAGTCTTTTTTTCGTGCTCATCGGCGCTCATTTCTGGCCTTCACATTTTAAAAAAATATCTGTACAATAATACAACGAAGTACATAACATAATAATGGGACTTAATGTAGGCCTACCACTTCCTCGCTACAGATTGCCATTGCAGAAGAGAAGAACGTGCGATGGCTTCCTGGAGCCAAGGGAAAGGTTCCCGTAGGTGCAGCAGCAGCTGGAGTATCTGCTAATGGTGAGACGGTGTACGCGTGCCGGGCATTTGACCAGGAGCGCAAGAAGGGAAACCATATCCTTATGATGACTCCAGGAGCGGTGAGTATTGTGTGTGCAGTACTATGGCACATCGTTCCCCGATGAAACTAATTCGAAGAAATTTTCTGCTGATAATTTTAGATGCAGCCTAGTACCGGTGTCTGCAGCATCGAATTTCACGGAGTCAACAACTACACTACATACCAAATACTTGCGTCTGTTACTTAAATGGGGCAATTTTTAGAGCTATTAATTGGAAAACCGCTGTTTTTTCTGCACTTTGAGACTGAAATGTTTGTCTACTTTAATGTTGAATAAGTTGTGAATAAATTCTCCACTAAACGCTCACTGACAACGGCACCTTCATCCCTTCACCAAATCCAAAGCCCACTCATACAAAAAATACCAATAACACTCACACTCACACTCACTCACACTCACACACACACACACACACACACACACACACACGAAGACACAGAACAAGTCACCCTCACTGAGAAAAATACTGTGGTGCTAAGGACAGCTGTAACACCCCAAGAACATTTTGCTCTTGGATCGGCTTCAAGCACATGCGTTCTTGGAGCCTGTTCTTGGGTTATGTCGTTGGTTCTATATACCGGACGCGTCATTGTGGTAGTGACATGTGTCTTTAGAGTAGGCCATTCTTGTAGTTAGTTGAAATACGTATGTACTTCCGCACTTGTCGTTGATTTCAATACAGTGTTTGGGAAAATTTTACTTATTTATGTAGTATACGAGGTCCCGAATCAAATCGGCATTTCAATTTCATAGCGGGCCAACAAAAGTCGCATTGGCGGGAGCCAGCGGAAGCTAGGCACTCACCGACATAATGTCAGTGGGCGACGGTTTGTCACCTTGTGCCAAACATTTATGCCCGTTTGAACACCTACCCGACGGGGGAGAGCGCGCGACTGCGGGCCACAGAATTGTGAATTTACTAAATCCTTATGCATTCTGTTGTGCATAAGACTTGCAGGATTTCATGCAGCCATAGCTATGCA